CTCTCTTCCGTCAAACCTTCCCGTCCTTCCTCTACCGGTCGGATCCTCATCTTTGTCTGGGCTCACGAACAGGGTCAAAAATCCCGTCGAAAGTGGGCCAAGGGGACTCTTTTACCTGCACCCGAACTTGGATCATCTCCATCGACGAGCTCCATTGAACCTGACTTGGAAAAGTTTGAAGAACTGTCCAACTTACAGGACGTCTTAGTTCCTTGGGTTCTCAACAATAACTCCGATCAAAAATCGACCGACAAGCTGACGACCTATAACAGATACTATCATCTATTTCGCGAGGGAGAATTGATTGAACTGGTCAAGTGTGCCGCCGAATCCCTTGAGCTTTCATTCACACAACTGGACTCAGATCTTCCCGAGTCTACTCCCCCTCATCTGAATGACTGGTGTCTTATCAAACGTCACGGTTGGGAAGCAGATAATTGGTGGGTAGAAGTCGAGCTGGGCATACAAGTACCATAACATTCGGTCTCCTTATCGTCATATAATCTCATGCGATTGATAACATAAAAATGTACATTGAATATATGGAAATTCATGCAAATTTCAATACAACACTGACAATATGTTATACACGCTAAGCTAAAAGGCTCGTTGTCTTTGCTTGTTTTTTTTAAAAAAAACAATGTTTTCTGAATTCAAGCTTCGGCCTTCTCCAGTTGCTTGCGCTTCGCACCAGCCACGTCAGTGATTTTTACAAAAGCTTTATCTCCGCTGACACTTCCCATCGGTGTATCTTTGTTCATCACCCCTTCCACCCTACCACCCCCAACGCTTCCGTCCTCGGAGTGAATGTGTTGAGAAAGTTGGTCGTCTTGGATCGATTGTAATTTCTTGCTCATCGAAGCATATTCGACGTCATCCAAAGACCAGTAACTGCTTGCGCCCAAGGTGACTAGTAAGCTACTACCGACGATCGCCGTTAATCCGAAGCGATAGGTCGAATACCATCGAGGGGTCCTAAAGAAATATGGCACTAAAGATGAATCACTATTTCTAGTGAGGATTTGGGGCTTCATGAGAGATACATAGGAGGAAAAATATCATTACCATCCCCAACTGGTTGCAAGCATATCCGCATACCAGACAATGGTAAATGCCGCCCATTGTGAGGCAAGAGCTAGTTGGTTTGGTAACAGCAGCGTCGGCCATGCCAAGACCACCGGCAAAGCCCCGAGCCAATATCTTTCAGTCCCCTGGGGCTGACCAGCTTGATTGGCGTGCATACCTCGAAAAGCAAAATCGATACCCCAGTGAATCGTGCCTACAAGATTTTTATTGATTTGATTCCATTAATACACAGGAAGATCAAAGGTCTTGAGATGCTTGGCTGAAATATATGAAGTTTAACCCACCTAATGCGGATAGAATCACCGCACCATAGGTCACCTGCAAGTTCTCGTTATGGTAAAGCAGAGCCAGTGCGGTATCGACGTCAAACTTGGCCGCTGCAAAGAGGCCGGGTTGGGGATCAGTATAAGCTCGAACCGAAATCGTGTCTTTGAAAAGAATGAATCAATAGAAGAACCTACGCAATCCACGTTCCGCAAGAAAAGCCTGACGAGCAAGATACACGGTGGTGAAGGAAGTCGCAAAGTATGGGACCAAGCCGGCTGACCCGAATATCAACGCTCCACGGGGTACTTCTTGCACCAATTTAAGCAACGAAGTCTACGTGTATCTTGTCTCAAATTCAGTTCCTAAGATGGATGCTGATCCGGAAAGCTATTGAAATGAAAAGAAAAATAAAAAGAGAGATATGTTGTAGTTACATACCAAGTTAGAAGCCATCGCCGAGCTCTGAGCAGGGTTTTCTGCAGGATTTCTTCCCGGGTTGACACCCTGTGAAGGATTGGAGGGATCCGTAGCTCCCTTGAGACCACTGACCGCACTGACGACGGTGCCAAGGTTGCTCTTGGCCTCTTCTCGAGCACTCTGAGAGATATCCTTGAGGTTGGAAGTGATGGATTGGTATTTAGATTCAGTGGAATCGGTTTGATGACTCCTCTTGACCAGACCCTGAGCGATGACCGGATAGCGATTAAAGCTTCCACTTTGTAACCCCGGACGAGCCAGGCTTAATATTAATGCTGATGAACGCGCCCACAGAGCCATAGTTTCATTGAACTATTAATGGTCGGACGAATGGTTTAGAAGAAGAAGAAGAAGTAGGTGCCAGTAAAATTATAGGATGGATGTATTCCCAAAGATTAATCAAGGTGCGTTTATCTTCAGCTGCCAATAAAAAACACATACTCTAATGTATGCCATCTACTCTGATCACAGTTATGACGTCATGATAATAATCATATTGCCCGTGATCCTCCAACCAAGAATCATATGCGTGAAAAACCCGCTGTGCTCTGCTGAATGGGCTGTTGAAAGGGATGAGAGCCGAGAGGAAAAGAAATTACAATGTACTCCCGAGCAGGTTGGTAATAGCAATATAGATCGAGACACCCACAAGTCTCATTTGAGATTGCCGGCAACTGAATCCCATCCCATCTGACTCTTCGTGCTCTTTCTTGGTCATCAACTCAAAACATATTATAATATTGACACAAAAAAATAAAACAAAACAAAATAAAAACATAACAAAAACGACTATTCTTTGATATATTTATATATAGACTGTCAAAAACCAAAGATAACATGTATATTTGTATATAATAGATAAGGAACAGAGCTCAGTGGTTGCCACCAAAGATCACGAGTATATAAGTAAATAAATAAATAAATAATCAAAACAATGTGCAGACCTCAGAGTCGAGCTGGACAGATGTACAAACATACAGCTGAGTTATCCTCAAGGAAATTACAACCACAATAATGGAGGAAGAAGAAGAGATCAGTATACATGATGAGTATTTGTTTGTTTTTTTGGTTTTTTTGAGTTTGGGTTTGGCCTGCAAAGCCGGTCAAGGCTTCCTCCTCCGATTGAGATCACCAGTCATGCCGAGCTTGACGGCTGCACTAGACCCAGTAGTAGTATCATCGGTCGTCACAAGTTCGGTGAGGTTCAACTGACTCCGACTCCGACTTCCACGGCTAGTCCGTCGGCTTCTCGACCCGCTGCCCGTCCCAGCCCCAGTGAACCGACTGAGCATCCCGACCACCGAGTCGTAATCACCATCCTCATCCGCCCCACTATCCGTCGTCGTCGCCTCCTCCGACGTACTGAACTCGTCACGTTCGCCTGCAAGAGTCGGCTCTGATTTCAGTCGCCGGAGACGGCGCCGTTTCTGTTGTGACGGCCGAGAGTCGTACTGACTCCACCCAAACAGTCTCTCATCCAACCAGCTCAACGGATGGTTAATCAGATCCACCCCTCGTCCTCCATATCCCAAGCCTAACGATTTCCGTCCATCACCGCTCAACGGTGCCACATCCGCAGATGGGGTATGGATCCTAGTCTGTTCAAAGTTCTCCCAGATCTTGGGTGCATATTCTTCAATTACCGAGTGTAATTCTGCTTGCAATTCGCTCCGCATCTTGCGTACTCGCTCCAATTGGTTCTGATCACCCAGAAGGGAGAGTAATAGTGGTCTAAGCGATCTATGAGTGATAGCAGGAGAAGAAGGATAGATCAGTATCGCATCTGATCAATCAAGTCCGAGATAAGCAAATAAGAAAATCACTAACTTGTAGACATCCATTCCTACTTCACCAAATTTCAACGCAGAATATCCAATACTTGGAAGAGCAAACAACATGCCCATCGGGATCCACATCACATATTTCCGTGAGACCTCGTACTTCACCGCAAGCCAAATGGCCACAGCAACATAAATGATGTAAAGCGGTGGGGCTAAACCGAGTGAGACTAAGACCTTCCAAGTCGCAAGTACATCTCGCCCTGCAATCTTAACCGACGAGGCGGCAAGGGCCTCTGTAGGAAAAAATCATATCATCAGCAAAAAAAAACACAGTGTGAATAATTTTTTTTTCTTTCTTTTGGCAAAAAAAAAAGGATCAAATTCCTTACCTCTTGCCTTCTTGCGACTGACAATACTAGCACAGATAAACATCGGCGAATTCAAGATCACACCTGGGAGCGCCAAGACACCCCAGCCAGTCACCAAACCAGCACGAAAACACAACAAAATCAAGCTTTTCCACCACGGTCGATTGACTTTCTCGACTTGATGATCCTTGAGTCCCAAGTAGCTAATCGATTTATTGTACTCCAAGGTCTTTGACTTCAAGGCCATCACCCTTGGCTCGTCCTTATAACGCAGGTAACCGGTAATAAATCGTTTGTTTAATTCGACGACCGTGCTAAGACTGACGTGTCGATCTGGTGGTCGGTATAATCTCCGGGCAGCTTGGATGACTTGTAGAGTATCATAATCTGGAGCTTGAACAGTCACGCTCTTTAGGCCGTCGTAAACCAACTCCATCACTTTACCGATCGCGGCCTTCTTGTGATCATCTCCCTTCTCGAAGTCTCTAACAAGTTCTTGTGGGATCTCGATCGGAGTTCCAAATTCGACAACAGCCCGTGAACGAAATCGATGCGGATGGAAATACGACAGACCAACGGGGACGATCCGGACGGTAATTTCAGGGTTGGAAGACATCGCCCCTAATGCCATGATCGAAACTCCAGCCTTAAGCGGTAGAAGATCGGTACGATCGTGTGAGCCTCCTTCCGGAAAGATACCAAGACATCCGCCATTCTTGAGTTTCTCAAAAACTTTACCATACATTTGAGTCTGTGAAAGTATATATTATCGCGCAGCATTATTAGCAAAATAGAACGACAGATGAGGTATATATATATATATAAATCAAAATGAAAAAACTAAAGTGATTCGACTTACTTGATCGACATAAGGAAGAATCTTGAATGGGACTCCAACTACTGAGTCCGAGTCAATTCCAGCTTCAATCTTGTTTCCTTCCTCGCGCAAGGCCTCGACGCCCTTCGTGGGGAATGGCTTCTTGACTCTTAAGCAACAGTCATCCAGAATCTCAACCACCTCGACCGTCACAAATCCTAACTGTTTGGATAGTAGGATTTGCTTCTTGGGTGCTAGTTCATGGGTAAATTTCGTGTTTTTGCCGTGGAGAATACATGGATCGGTTTGTCTTGAGGATAAGAAGATCCGACCGGTCCCATCTTTTGCATCGTCGGTCGCTCGTGTGACTGAAACTGGGATTATTGAAAAGCAAGCAAGCAAATGATCTTAATAATTAATAATATATAAATTGGGCATCATAAGAGCCATCAAGACATACTGCTTTGCATCACCCGGGCTATCAGCCCAATAAACGGTCGTTTCATGCTCTTTTCCGCCGTCAGGAAGGAGACTCGCCGTGCGCTTTCGGCCGCTCGCACTTCAGACATCAAGATAACCGGATCAAGGAACTTGTATTGTGATTATTTGAGAGGGAGTGGAGTGATGAGATCAGTTTTTGATGGGAATGTACATATTGAGAAGAAGGTGACAACTGACCTGATTGTGATGTGGAGCAGCGACGAAGATCAGAGGTCCTTTGTCAGGTATTTTGTGGGATCCACGCGGACGAATCTCACGGAAGAAGAGATTGATGATCCATTTGAGTAGTAGGATAGCGAGATCGTAAGCACTAAATCATAACATGTGGATAAATCAGAGGATTTTTCAAGGTGAGTTGTATGGTTGGTGAAATGAAATAGAAGCCCAAGAATGAAATAATGAGAAATGGAAGGACTTACACATTACTAGCTAGAAGATTTCGATTATAGAGCATCTGAGCCATCTGTTGAACACAAGATCTGTGGAAGCAAGAGTGAAAATTCAATCAGTCACAGTGCAAGCGGGTGGAGACAGAAGAATGGTGAGAGTCGTTCGTTGTATGTAGAAACGGATTGAGGGGTGTTGGATAGATTATATATTATGTAAATATGTGAGATGAGAAGCTCAAAAGAAGAGGAGAAAGAAGCACATGGATGGTGGTGGAGAAGGTGAAAGCGTGCTGGTGAATATGTACAAGCTGGATCTTCAGAGTGCTCGATCTTCAGATAAATATGTATGCCGAGTCGAAAATTCAAGGCTGGTGTTGGATTGATTAAAGGGGGGGGGGGAGAGATCAAAAGGAGTGAGCTGAGACGAACCTCGAGAATCGATGGATGAGCCTGGGTACGAATTGGGCGAGTCGATGGCTGAGAGGCAGGATCTTGCGGAAGGTTTGTAAGAGTGAGCTGAGATCTTCTAGAGTATCCTGCAGAGTGTGGTTGAGTAGTTTGGGGGGAGCAGGCGTGGGCTGGTTGATGGGCGAGTAATGGGCTAGATGGATGGGATCGGAGTGGACATTTGATATTGCAAGCTGAAGTGGTGGTGGTGGTGGTGATATGAGTGAGTGAGTGTTGTTGATTGAGGGTGAGTTTGGGTGTGGTTGTGGTTGTGGTTGTAGTTCCTGATCGGAGTCAGTCAGATTGGGTGTGTCTGGTGGGGTGGGTACTTGAGTTATACAATTGTTGAGCGGCAGTTCTTCTCTCTTTGGTGGATGATGATGGTGGTGGGTTGTTGTTCGGGTTGAGTCCAGTTCGTGTTCATGACTGTTGCTGCTGTTGTTGGTTTGGTTCATGTTTTAGTATGTAATTAAGGATTGAAGACTTGTCTGTACTGGAATTCAAGTTTGAAGGACTGGAGCAGTCTGAAGATGATGAGGAATCGATCAAGATGGGGAGCCCTGGTTTTATATCCTGAGTTTCCCCCCAGCCAAAAAAAAAAAGAAGCTTCTCTTGACTTTCCCCAGTTCTCCGGAGGAAATCCATCAGAAGCAAACTACTCTTCTGAGCATACATAGAGACTTCCCCAGCCAACCAGAAAAACCCAACCAAATTAACCATACATCGTAGAAAAACCATTTTAGCTTATCTGAACCCCTCAGCAGCTTACATATATTATTAGAGTTTGATGGGGTATACTTGCGCTGACTTGTCTGGCTGAAGAACATCATCATGATAGATAACCTTGATAACATATAACCCAATCCCAACTGGGATCATAATAAACAACGGTCTGCAACCAACACCACTTAGCACATAAATATCCACTCATCCAACAGAATCCTCAAGAGTCCTACATAGACACTTCATGCTTAAAGCCGCAGAGAGATCACCATCATTCGAGTCATATCCATTTAAATACATTAGCAACTCATCCTATATCGACTATATTTGTCTACCTCTCATTTATTCGCTCCAGGCATCTATCTTCAGCTGCTTGATCTAACTTGATTCCCTACGGGTATGCACATCTAGTTCTTTGGATTCAAAAGATCATGGATTTATCTACGAAGGAAAACAACAGACAGTAGACAGAATTGATAGTACAAGATAATAATAATAATAATAGTAGTAGTAGTAGTAGCAGTGATAACGATAATTGAAACCCGTGAATCAAGTGGGTTTTTTTTTTTTTTTTATTCGAGCAGTCCATGTGTTTCGATTTGACAATGGTATACAATCTTCACTAATCTGACAAAATCACACACCAAACAACATACGCACATTCACATACAAGACACCTACTACAAAAACATTCATCTCATCCGTTGTTTTATGAGCATCTTCGTCGTCTGTTCAAGCCGCTTTGTCATTCCTTTTTTACTTGAGAGAGCCAATCCCTTAAGAGATGTATGTATCATTCCTTGTTTAGTTGATAGAGTCGATCGAATATAGGCTAGAAAACCAAGAAATTTGGAGTCGGGTCGGATATATATAAATATATATATCTGCGCATATCATTAAATCATTCGTGTTCGGCTGAACAACTGCAAAACCCCCAATTCTTGTCAGTATGCTTGAATAGCATGATCATCGAGTTAGGAACATCCAGACGAGAATAATGATCAAATCCGATCAACTGACCATGGGGGAGCTAAGATCGGTTGATCAACTTGGACATTCATTTCGTCAACGCATTCTCTGGCCAGACTAGCGTTTCCAAGTCAGATCTCATATTCGAAAACTCCGCCAACATATCATGGCCCATAAAACCTAGGTAGTTCAACATACCCACCCCGCCGGTTTGATTTTAGATCAATGTCAGAACATCCCAGAAAGAAAAAAAAAAAGAGAAAAAAAGAAAGAAAAATAACATACCGAGCTCGGTGATATAACCAGTGATATCATCGTGATTGACATCCTCAAAAGTAGGGTTGCTAATCTGAACATGACTTGATTTCTGCAATTGTGCGATCATCTCTCGACCAAGAGTAGGTTCCCAAGCTGCGGTTAGCTGGTCCGAAGGGCTGCTGGCCTTTGATGGCCCGGCCATACCAGTAGAATGGATCCGATCAGCTCGACAGAGGATCAAGACGATCCCCCCACTAGATCTACCAGCCCATGCCATCTGTTGACACCAAACATGGCCAGAAAAAAAAACATTAATCAAGAAACTTAGGACGATCAGCTCTTTTAACTACGAAATTATACTACTTCATCTCGCTTGGGAGTAAGCTCCGACTTGCTACTGACCTGTGCAGAGCCAACTTTATTAACGACATCTCCGTTCGAGAAACTTTTTTTTCCAAGCAAGTTAAAAGGGATTGTGTCAGTCTTCTTCAACATTTTCAGCAGATTTGACAATCAACTTCTTACTCACATCCGATCAGCACCTAACAAAATTATTGGCTTCACGTTCGTGCCCCCAGCAGCCATAACCGTACTGACAACGGCAGCGTCCGTGATAAGTTCGATGCTCACCTTAGGCTCCTTCTTTTCCTTCTTGGCATCCAAACTGAATCATCACAAACCAAATCGAAATAAGAAAACAGAAAAAAAAATCGTCAAGTGTCTTCTGTCCAAACGGATAGAACTTACTCTGCTAGCAATTTGGATAGGCCCAGGGAGGAGGGTTGCAACCGGTGCAAGCTACGAAGCTGCTCGGCAGCCGACATTTCCTGCTTCATCTGAGCTTGCAACTTAGGATCCAACACCGACGGCCCGAGATCGGCGACAGAGGGTGGTGCAGATCCCTGTCTGGCATGTTTCGATCCACGGTCTCGATATTCAAGGTATGTGTCGACAACATGGCTGAGTCTCATGGCAAGCGTCACACCCTCGCTAAGTGGCCGACTCTCAGCAATGGTGATCTTCAGATCCATTATTCTTCTGTTGACAGTCGATTTACTACTGCTTTCCGTCAGACTGGGCTTGCGGGCAAGAACGTGGGTGACTGGCGAGGGAGGAGAACAAAGTTAGGCTGACACTAGAATCTGTTGTCACTTGACTGGCTAGAGGACAAACCCACTCAGTTTAGCAATCACTTGGTAAATCACTGAAGAAGTTCCAGCAGTGATGATGTGCATCTTTTCTAATGCATTTTCTGGTGGTGCAAAAGTGGGATTGTGAAGACATTCACTGATCCCTTCGTGAACCAGCGTTTCGGTCGCATGTCTCGATCGATCGGCTTCGGACGCAATGGCATTGATCATGATGGCCTCAAGCTGTATTCCCCAAAAAATCTTGATGGATCAGAGCTTTAATCATTTTCAAGGATCAACATGATCACTGACTTCATTCAAGGAGACCTTCGTGTCATCGACCGAGGCTCTGACATTGTACAGAGACTTCAAAAGTGTATACGAAGTTGAAACTTGAGCATCTTCTCGGAGTTGTGATAAATGCCATGCTATCACCTAGATCAATGGTAAAAAATAAGAATTTGTTAAAAAAAATTGAAACATGAAAATGAACATTGAATAGTAACAAACAACAAAAAATAAATCAACCGACCTCGGTCCAATAAGCCCATACCCTACGTTTGTCGCAAAGCTCATAATCCTTTTGACGTTCCGGTGGTGGTGGGATAGGATAATGTAGAAAGGCCTAAGAAGCGCAAGCCACCACGATCAGCAAGTTGCCCCCTCACTTAGAGATGACTTAGACAATGTACTTCGCGTGCGAATTGAGTCGTAACACAATGATATAGAACGTTCAGGGCTCTGAAATACACACAGGCAATGGTTAGCATCTGCTCTTTCTGTCGTGTGGGGTGATCAAGTAAGTCTACATCAATCAGCTCACGCCAAAGAAAGCACATCAGCGCGAGAATCTTGATCGGCTAAAATGCGATCGAAACCAGAACTCAAGTATGGCGGCAAATATACAGAACTGTCGATCGATCGTAGTTTGAAAATCGTCAATCAATCTAAGCAAAGATTTGAGAGTGCGATCGCTTGCTGATCAAGAAAATCAAAATAGTTGGGTTGGCTAACACAATTGCAGTGGCGATTACATCACTGTCAAGGTCGCAAAAAGAATGTCAGGCGAAGATTCTCAATCAAGCTGTCAAAATCTTAGGGTCTGATAATACTCGCCTCTTGACATCTTCCATGATTTCGTGGTAAGCGCTGTGAGCTCATAGTTTGTGGAATGTCAGTTGGAGGTCGACACTCGAACAAATTTCTTTTCAAGAGTGACCTGATC